AGCATATTACACAGCATTGTGGTGTGACCCAGCAAGGAATTTTGCCTGGCTCTGGGGACTGCAGGGGCAGTCGGAAGGCAGGCAGAAGACAGAGTGGGGCATTGGAGAGGCATGGGAGGCTCTAAGCTGGGGGGAGTAGGGGAGAGGGTGTGACAGGGTCAGATGTGGGCAATGGAAAGACCTCTCTGTCAGTAGGGAGGGAATGTTTCCCACTGCTTCCAGTACCAAGCCAGACGCCCCAGTGGCTGGACTCTGGCACAGCCTGAGTGGAGGACCCTCCTCTCCCCTGACTCAAGGCCAGCCGCTGTTCCTCAGGCCTCTCTCAGCCAAGGCAGCCCCATCCCCACACAAATACCTACCACACTGGAGTGCCATGGCTGTTTTGCATCTGCCTCTCTGCCTGCACTGGGAAACACCTGGGGCCCACTCACTGCCACCACAAAGCCTAGGGGGCCTCAATATTTGGTGGAAGGAAGGATTGGAAGGACAGTCAACGCACCCTGGCTGTTAATTAATCAGAGAGTAAGGTCCCCAAATTATTGTGCGTGGGCTTTTTTGTAGCCAGCAGGTTGGCAGGCGCTGTCTTCCTGAGGGGCCCATCCACCTTTCTCAGTCTTTGGGATCCCCCTCTGAGAGTCTGATTTCCTCTGGAGGTGGGGTGGGGCTCCTCCAGAGTTTGGGGGGCTCCTCACTCCAGCTCACCAATGCAGGGCAACATGTTACTGCCTCCCCAGCCTTCCCTGCAAAATGAAGCTCTTGGCTTGCCAGCACAGCTTTGGGAAGTGGCTCATCTCACTCCGATTAGATCCCACGACCCTGCCCCACCCCCAGGTCCTAGCCAACCTCAGGCACTCTGAGCCCAGGCTGCCGGCCACTGGTGCAGCCAACCTCAGGCTCTGAGTGCTTGGGTGGAAGAGAGTTCCTAACCACCAGCTGTGCCTGAGCCTTCTCTCAGAAGGGTTTGGGGGGGAATCCCAGCTCCTCCATTTCTTGACTGTGTGGGCAAGACGCTTCCTCCCCCTCCTCTGCAGCGACCTCTGGTTGAGGGCTTACTATAGAGAAAGCAGTGAACTCATTGAATCCACACAAGCCCTGGGACATGTTCTCATCATGCCTATTTGACTGAGGAGCAAACTGAGAGGTCAAGGGGCTTGCCTAAGGTCACACAGCTCAGTAGGTCAAACCTCAGTTTACTTGTTTTCCAAACTCTTGCCTCATGTGTTTGTTGTGAGTATCAATTGACATAAAGTCTATCAAATGACTTGCACAGGGCCATGCTCCAAGTAGGAGCTCCTTGCCTTGTCCACCCACCAACACTGAAATATTCCTCTGCTGGGTGGGAGCAGGGGAGGGATGAGGAAGTAGAGAGGGCAGAGTGCTGTAGTAGCAGTCCAGGGGGCCTCCCTGGAGGAGGCAATGATCATAGCAGGGCCTGAAAAAATTGGGGAGAGCATTGCTGTGTGCCTTGGGGAAAGGTGCCACACTTCTCTGTTTCTCTGCCTGTAGCCGGCCTACCAGCACCACATCTCCCTCCTCTGAAGTGAGAAGAAGCTCCTCCAAGGAAGAAAAGAGATTAGTTAACAGCAGGTATGGTTTCATTAGAGGAAGACACACTGTTATTAATAACCTTGTAGGTATCGATCTGAGGTTCAGGGAGCTGACCTTTCACCTTACCTTCCCAGAGAGCCAGGAGGAGTAACCACTGTCTGGGGTGGGGTGGAGGAGGCCTGTGCAGACCTGGTATGGCAAGGGGGGTGATGGGTGTGAAACCTCCCTTCCAGGCTCTTCTATGCTACTCTTCTTTGTTAACTCTGCCAAGGAAGCCCACGTAATGACAGACTGTTACTTCTAACTCCAATGTCACTTCTCCTCTCCAAGACTACAGCATAATAAACATGTAGGGGCTCCCGGGGGAGCCACCTCCTATTGATGACCATCCTTTATCCAACAAAGGCTTGATAGTCACCTCTCTCCACAGGTTCTGCACATGACCCTTGGGGTAGAGAAGAAAAGGTTAAGGTCAGGGCCTTCAGGAACTCACAGTCAGCTGACACTCTACAGAGCTTTTTACAGCCTATAAGCAATTTCCCACACTAATTTTGTTTGATACTCGCCTCTGTCTATGAGGCAGATCTCATGGTTCCCACTTTGTAGATAAGGAAGTCAAGGCTCAGAGTTACAAAGTGGCTGCCAAGTCCCGTACCCTGTGTCCTTTCTTTTATATTCCAAGGTTTAAGTGATGCTGAAAAGGAATGGACAAGACACTGATTAAGGGGGCAGAGCTGCTCTTTTTGTGAAGTGCCCCTGAATTAGGACAAGACTTAGTGGGGTGGAAGAATCTTAACTGGCCCCTAAGGTCTTATCAGGCACATCCTGGTCTGGGTGGACCTCACTCATGCTCAGAGAGATTGGAGAGAACACCCGGCCACCTGAGCACACACCTGAGAGTCCTAGACCCTAAGAGTTGAGAACACTGCATCCTCCCACCCTCCAATAGCAGGGTGGAGGTAGAGGAAGGGGTGTCGTGCTGCAGGAGTGGGAGGGAAGGGCAGAGTTGGTGAGGAGTAAGAGTAGGGAAGAACAAACAGCCTGTGATCTAAGGCTTGACCATGAACACTAGTTGTCAGCACACAGATGCGCTTTCCTGATGCTAAGGTGTGGCAGAAGGAAGATCCCCAGGCTGGGAGCCAGGAGATCTGGGTTTCTATCCCAGCCTGCTATGTGACCCAACCGTCTCTGAGTCTGCTCCTCAGAGCTCACCAGACTATTTCTAAGGACCTTCCAGCTCTCAACTAAGTGATACCCTCTCCCCTCCCCCAGGTGACCACTTCCTCTTCCTATTCTTATCTGCAGTGTCCAGCCCCTCCTCCTCAGCTCCAGCTGCTCTAGCTGCTTCCGGACTCTTGGAACCTATGGCCGCAGGCATGAGCTGCCTTCTGACTCAGGCAGCCCTGACCTTTGGGATCTGAGCAGGTGGCCTGGGTGGTTTTGCCCCATGAACTTGCTCTGACCTTCGGCATGTCCACATGTATCCCCCATCTCCACTGCACACGCCTGTCCCCAGTTCTTGGTAAGACCAGGAACTGTGCGGGACAAGGTTTCTTCAGAGAAGGTAACAGCACCAAGGGGCTTCTCATCCCAAGTCAGGTGGCCCAAGAGAGTCAGGGCAAATGGGGTCAGCCCTTCCACCCCTCCAGCACCTCTCTGGGCAACATACCTTTCCTGGCTGGGAATGCTCACCCCATCCCACTTCCCAGGCTACACGCGCTCAGGCCTGTCTTGAGGGAGATTTGCCAAAAAGGTTCAGAGGTACCCACTGAGGTCATTTAGCAAACCCCGCAGCACCCTCATTCTTGGCTAACTACAGGGATGGGAAAATCACCCCTTCCTCAAACAGGTGTGGTGCCCTAACAGGAGTTGAGATACATTTGTCTGGAATTTGTCCTCGCTGGCTGCACCGAGATTAGGGGACATGCTAAAGAGCTCTTCTTCATTCCAGTAATGCCACTAGTACTGGCCTAGGGAGTCAGAGCACCTACTGTATGCCAGGT